CAGGATGTCAAGCCGGTCCGAGGGCACGGGTCGGGACTTCGGGGGGCGCGTATTGAACCAGTTAGTGCGCCGCAGCTGTGGGTCTGGACCCCTTCCCGGGTGCCGGCTCTTCCCCCAGAGTCTGTTCGTTGCTGGTGCCGCGGCTCGGTGTGAGGGCCCTTGGTGATGAGCCTGTTTTCCACCACCACCACGATAAGTTGGAGGGGGGAAGGAGGAGGAGGATGAGGAGGGCGAGGAGGAGGAGGAGGAGGAGGAGGAGGAGGAGGAGGAGGAGGAGAGAGAAGGAGGAGGGGGAGAGGGAGGAGGAGGAGGAGGAGGAGGATGAGGAGGAGGAGGATGAGGAGAGGAGGAGAGAGGAGGAGGAGGAGGAGGAGGACCCCCCCTCCAACTTGTGGTGGTGGTGGTGGTGGCAAACGCGCTCATCACTTGGAGGCCGAAGGTGGCCAGGAGAGCCTCCCGCCGTGAGGCTCCCACGGCCCGGGGAGGCCAGCCTCTCGGCCCACAGGTCGCGTCTGCGGCGGCCCCTCGGGGCGCTCCGGGCACCCTTTGGGAGCGCGCGCGGCGGGGCTGCAGCCGTTCTGCAGAGCACCAGGAGGCCGGAGAGCCGCCGACGGCCCGCGCGAGCGGCGGAAGACGTCGAGAGCCCACGCCCCCCCCAAAGGCCTCGTCAAAGGCCTCACGCCGTGATCTTTTGCGCGAGCACGTCTGGGCTTATGGTGCTCCAGCCTGCTGTGCAGTCAAGACGCTGAAAATAAGGAAAACAGTTTGGGTTCGGGAGGGGCCCGATGTTCCTTAGGTTCCTCCAGTGCTGTTCCTCTTGCACTCTTGGGGCACGGAGGCGCTTACAGGGCCAAGAAGGGGCTCCGTTCCTTATTTAGCGTTCCTTCTGTCAGCGGCCGACTGTAGCCCTGACCACCAGGAAGAATTCCCGGCACCAAGCAAGTAATTACCGAAACTCGAGGGTTTCACGCGTCGGGCCCTGGGGGACACTCGCCCGACTCTGTTTCGGCACTGTTGCGACACTTGGGCGGGTGCTCGAACTTGATCCTGGCTTGCGGTCTTCAAGTACCATGAGTGCAACAAAAGTCTGGGAGGAGGAGGAGGAGGAGGTGGAGGTGAAGGGAGGGGTGGAGATGGTGGAGGTTGTGGAGGAGGAGGAGGAGGAAGAGGAGGTGGAGGAGCTGGAGGAGGAGGAGGAGGAGGAGGAGGAGGAGGAGGAGGAGGCGGAGGCGGAGGAGGAGGGCTTCCTCCTGTGGTTCCAGGCGGCGCCCGGGCCCCGCGCACGCCTGGCCGCCCTGGTCGAGCTCGGCCAGGCCCAAGCTCTCGGCGCTGCTGTCCCCGCGGCTGCCGCCCCTCGGCGCCGCCGCCGAGGCCGGCGCCGCCGCGGGCGCCGCGCGCTCGCGCTCGTGCGGCGCGCTGCGCGAGGCTCGGCCGCGCGCGAGAGTTAAGCCGGGCCTGCCCCTCTCCAGGGGGGAACATTCCCAACATAGTCAAACAATAGTCAGGGGACCAGTTTTGGAGCCTGCTTCCATGTGTTGGAACATGTTTGGTGTGTGTGTGTGTGTGTAAGTTGTCGTCCAAGATCCGCCTGCAGGGGGATGTGCCCGTCCTAACGCGAGAGGGACCCTTTGCCGGCGTGGCCTCTGGTGCGTGTGTCTCGGGGCCCGACAGGCGGCGGGGGTCAATGCACAAAGAGAAAACAAGGGTCAGTCAGAGCGCTGGACCGCGCAGGATCCTGAAGAGCCAGGGGCGCACCGACCCTGGCTTGGGTGCAGGAGCCTGCAGGAGCCTGGAGGATCCTGCAGGATCTTGCAAGACCCGACTGGCCCAGATTTGCATGGGCCTGGTTACGTAGATCCCCGAGGGAGCACGGGGTTCCCCCCCAGCTCGGCCACGCGCAGAGGGTGGTGGTGGGACTGGGAGGGCGTCTCAGAAGCACCCCTGCTTCCTGAAGGTCGTGGGCCTTCTCTGTGGATGGGAGGCCGGCGCCTTCTAAGAAGCCCCCCTCCCCCTGACCCCCCGTGAGCGCGCCGCCAGCCAGCACTGGCCGGCGCGCCTGGATTGCTTGGACTCGGTCTCCCCCGCGGCCCCCCCTGAGGCGGCCGCGCACCAGATGCGGGCAATATGTTTGTCCCTATCCAGGGCGTCTTGGACTTTCGTGGAGGGGGCGCCGCAGGGCCGAGGCGCACTGGATATGGACAGAATTCGAGCCTCTAGTATAGGGGCCTGATCTGTATCCACATATCCAGTGCTCCTCGGCTTCCTGGGGCAGGGAGCCCGACACTCCCAAGCTGCACTGGACATGGGCACCAGCTTTGCCCGCACCGGAGGCCGCTCTTGCCCAGGGTCGCTCTCTGGCGCGCAGCCGGCGGACTTGGCATCGCTCGGACGTGTGCATTTTCCTTCGGCGAGGACCATCGAGGAGCATCCTTGCTCATTTGGCGAAAACCTCGCACGAAACCTGGAAGAACACAGGGAACGGACGTCCGAGCGATGGCCAGCGGAGGCCCTGCCGAGGCTGTGAGGCGGCCGGCCCGCCCCGCTGCGGGCGGCGGCGCCCAGCGGCGCGCGCGCGGCCGCCCGCAGGGGCTGCCCGCTGTGGGCGGCGGGGCGCCCCCGCCGAAGGCGGCTTGGGCGCCCCCCGCGCGCCGCGGGCGGCGGGCGGCAGCGCCGGCCAGCCCTGCGACCACCTGCGAGCTCTGCCCCCGGCGCGTCCCGCTGGCGGTGGGGGATTCGGACGGGAGGAGGAGGAGGAGGAGGAGGAGGAGGAGGAGGAGGAGGAGGAGGAGGAGGAGGAGGAGGAGGAAGAGGAGGAGGAGGAGGAGGAAGAAGAAGAGGAATAATAACAACTTAATAATACGGATACTCATATTAATAATAAGAATAAGTAGAGCAATCATACTAACCGTAACGATACTAGGCTAATATTACTAATCGCAAGGCTACGATTGAACATTCATATTAAGGATGCTGATGCTGATGATGCTGATGATGATGATGATGATGCTGATGATGATGATGATGATGATAACAATAAGAATAAGACGAATAATAATAAGACGAAGGAAAATACGATGATGATGATGATGATGATGATGATGATGATGATGATGATGATGATGATGATGATGACGATGATGATGCTGATGATGATGATGATGATGATGATGAGGAGGAGGAGAGGAGGAGGAGGCGGAGTGATTTGAAGGATTTGAGGATTGGAGGAGGGGAGGAGGGAGGAGGGACGAGGGAGGGAGAGATTGGAGGAGGGAGGAGGGAGGAGGGATGGAAGGATGGGAGGGAGAAGGGGGAATGGGGGAGGAGGAGGGGGGGGAGGAGGAGGAGGAGGAGGAGAAGGAGGAGGAGAGGAGGAGGAGGAGGCGGGGTTTTGATTGTCATAGCTAGCTCCGTGGCCAGAGTCCGCCCAGCGTCAAGAAAGGTGGGAGGGAGGGAGGGAGGGAGGGAGGGAGGGAGGGAGGGAGACACACAGGCAGGGAGGCAGGGAGGGACAAAGGCAGGTAGGGAGGAGGAGGATTTGGGAGGAGGAGGGGGAGGAGGAGGATGGTCGAGGAGGATTTTGCAGGAGGAGGAGGATTTTGGAGGAGGATTTGGGAGGAGGAGGAGGAGGAGGAGGAGGAGTAGGAGGAGGAGGGCCCCCGTTGGGGTTCCCTTCGCTGCGGGCATCATTCATGGTCCCCGCCGGCGTTTCGGAACTCAGGCCTGCAGGGGTAAGGTCAACCCGTAGCAGCTTCTCCAAATTTCCCTTGCATCCTCCCCCAGTCGGCCCGCGCTTGGCCGCTTTCGCTGCCCGCGCCCCTCGCAGAGTGTCGACATGGCCTCATCGCGCGTCCTCATCATACGGGTTGGCTGTACCGTTTACGCGTGCTCGTCTGCTGGCGGCTTGGGCGCCGGTGAGGGCCCGCAGAGGCGCTGGCGGGGCACGGCCGTCGGGCAGATCGGGGTCTTCAAAGGTGGGGCCCTTGGGGCCCGAAGGATGGAAAGGGATCCAAGGCCGGACTTGCACTGTTCCCAGAGATTTCGAGCAGGAGGTCGATTACAGAATTGATTTACCCCTAAAGTGATTTCCCGTTGAATCTGCGAGAAAATCGTAGGATGCTCCGTAGATCTACTGAGCATTCTACATAATTTCAGTAGCTTCGATGAAGAAATCAATTTCGGGGTAAATCAATTCTGGGTCGATCCACTATTCGAAGATCCGACGCTCCAAGAACTTACCGAGCGGCTGATCTGAAGCCGTCTTCGGCCTCCATGCAGGGGCCCTCGCCAGGCCTCGGGGCTGTCGAAAAACGGCTCAAAGCGGAAAAAAACGGCCCCGGGGAAGTGGTCCGGACCTCCCGGGCCCACGCGTGGAAAAGATGCCTGCCTACGCCCGCCAGGTTTGGGCCCTAGGTTGTTCTCACGAAGCCACGTTTCACTGAAGGGGGTTCTGTCCATCCCCGATTCATGAGCAGGAGCAGAACAGAAAGGCACAACTCATCGTCGATCCCCCGGAAGAGCTGGATCGCATGTGAAGTGGTTGGGGACGCCGCGCGTCCAGGAAATGTCTGGGAGAGACGGGGCGTCCTGGGATCTGTGCCTATCAGCTGGTGTGCCCCTGGGCCCCTTCGTGCGCAGTGGAGGCCCAGCCGATATGTCCGGGTCAGGACCCCATTAGGGGGCCACATGCGAGCCCTACCCCTACCCCCCATGCGAGCGAAGTGAACCCCACCCTCCCCCTCAGAACTGGTGGGGGGTAGGGGTAGGGTTCGCATGCGGCCCCCTGCCCATTCGTCGAGCCGCCGAGAACGCGGTTGCTGTTTGGTGCCGCCCTGCGCGTGCCGGGCCCCATTCCTTTTCTCGGGCCTGCCGGGGCCTGCCGGGGCCTGCCTTGCCTCCCTGTGGGGGCCTGGCCAGGCCAGCCTCCAGAGTTCCCCGCGTGCACCCAGATCTCCAGCGTGGCGTTGAGAGCAGCAAGCTCCTTCTCCTCCCTCCTTCTCCCTCCTCCTCCTCCTCCTCCTCCTCCTCCTTTTCCTCCTCCTCTTCCTCTTCCTCCTCCTCCTCCTCCCTCCTCCTTTTCTTCCGTAACCATTTTGGCTCAAGGCTAAACGTTGTGAAGGGCTATAGACGCCCGAGAATCAGCGATTAGCTTTGGAGTCCCTCCGGAGGTTTTTGTCGAGCTTTCGGGCATCCGCCAGCTCAGAGGCTGGCTTCCTCATTCTTCGGCTGATGACACGCACCAAGCCAGTCTCTCCGTCCGATGGCGGCCTTGCAGACGCCGACGGTGACGACATGACGGGCATCCTCAGCGCTCCCGTCTCTGTGGCTTCCACTCCGCGTGCCTGCTCAACACCTTCCCCAGCCACCCAGATGGACACTCCGCCATGCGACGAGTCCTCCCTCATGGCGCTCCTCCGCAACATGGACAACAAGCTCTCGAATGTTTGCACCAGGGAGGACATGCAGCAGCTGCAGAACCGCCTCGATGCCCACGACGAACACTTCGCCTCGCTTGAGACTCGCATCGCGCAGATCGAAGACGGCACCTCAGTGAAGGTCACCGCCGCTGTGAGCGGCCATCCTCACAAAGGTCGAGGCGCGCCTTCAAGCATGTGAGCAAGCAGCATCTACCGCCGCCTCTCGTTCTCGCGCCAGCCCTTCATCGGTCAACTCATTCTCCACAGCAGGCAGTCTCAAGAGTCGTGCCGTGGGAAGCGACCATCCATCTCCGATGAGCGCGAAGCAAGAAGCCGACAAAAGCCGTGTATGGTTTGGCGGCTTTCCACGACGTGTCCTGGGTTCAGTGATGCAGGCTCATGCTCAATTCGCACTCTCCAAGCTTCCCACCTCCTACTCCATCGGCGCCGAGATCCCCGCCAAGAACATGCAGATGAGCTGCTCCATCCGCTTCTCCTCCTCCGAGATCGCCAGTAACGTCGTTCAGCAGATGAAGTCCCACGGAGTTGACTGGATCGACCCCCGCACCAAGGTCGCCATCGCCATGCGCTGCCGCCTCGACGCCAGTGCCGCGGTCCGCGCTCGCCGCAAGGCCCTCGGCCGCTTGTGGCAGGCCCTGCTCAATCACATGAAGGAGAACAACATGTGGAAGGAAGGATACCGTCTCGGATGCAACGGGCCGCGCGGGATTCTCTTCATCCTCTTCGGGCAGGATCACGTCGAGGTGCTCGCCTTGCTCGCCAACGTCGGTGAGGGCAGCTACACCTTCGACATGAAGTACGACAGCCTCCAGTCCTTTGGCATCGATCGCATCGCTGCCGACAAAGTTGCTGGCCCCGCCCTCGGATAGGAAGTCCATCAGTTCGAACGGTTCCCGACAGTTTGTCGAGCATGGCACGGCCATGCAGGGTTTGCAGGACCCGGCGCGTGGGGCGCGCCGTTTCTCCTGCCTCTAATTTTTTAGGCAGCAGCAGTTCCCCTTCTTCCATCCACCACCTCGTCCTCCTCCGACTCCGACCCAGATGACAACCCTCTCCCCATCGAGTTCTTTGACCCCAAGTCGTATTTCCCATGTGCGATTGTGGAGAAGCTCTCTATCGTTTTTTGGAATGTTCACCGCATGTTCAACTCTGTTTGGTCCGACCAGAACTTGGCCAGAAAGAAAATCGATTTCATGTAACGACTGGTTACCCGACATCAAGTGATTTGTTTACAGGAAGCCCGAGGGCCCCAGCAAGAACTAGACCTCTTCCTCCATGAACTTCACGGCGTCAGCGGAGTCGGCACGTTCTTCGAAGTTAGAGATGCAGGAGGCTGCGTCATCCTCTTGAGCGAGAAGCTCTGTCGTAATGTTCAGCGCGTTCGGCACTTCTGTTGTCCGCCGCGGCAGGGCTCATACTATTGCCCTATATGGCCCCAAAGGTATCCTCCAGATCATGAGTATTCACAACACCCCGACCACCCCCGTTCCTCCCCAAGAGGTCTTTCTCAGGTTGCGCATGCCCTACTCCCGCAGTGCCAGGCGCTCAGCTTCGTTGCAGGAGATTGGCATTGCTGCCTCGAAGGTGAAGGCTCTCATCATCTTTCTGGCCGTCTAGTCCCGACGAAGCCTGACATCGCCAGACGCGCGGCGCAGCTGTTCTCAACGTGCGCTGAAGTGACGCAGGAGATGCCCACTCATCGTGTTGTTCAGGATAACGTGCTCGCTTCCGCTGCTCGCCTTGATCGCATTCTATGCAACATGTACACCGCCGAAATCCTCGACCGGAAGCCTAGCACGATGACCCTCGGAAACGCCACAGATCGCACCACATTGTCGGATCACTTACCCGTCTGCCTTGCGTTCGCCCCGAAGCCCAGAGGCCCCCCTGGCGTCTACGTCGTCCCGAAGCGGGTCACGAAGCACCCCGGGCACCCCGCTGAGTGTGGAAAGTGCGTGTCCCTGGAGGCTGGCGCGCTGAGTTCGGATCCCTGGGGGCGGCTTGAGGAAACCAACGACCTCCTTCGTTGCGCTGCGCGCAGTCTCTTGGGTCGTCTGGAGACCACTGGCGCCGCCACCATCCCTGAGAAGATCTCTTGGGGCCTCGCCCTGATGCGTGCGGCTCGTTCGCAAAATCGTTCTCTTGCTCGTCGTGCCTGTTGCGCATATTCGGCTCTCGCGCAGTTCCTGGACCGTGAGTTTTTGATCTGGCCCGACATGGGCGCGTTCCTTGCTGCGCAGAACTCGAGCTCTAGGGGAGCTTCAGAGCTGATACACACAGAAACGGATGCATAATACTCAGGCGCGTTCGTCTATTGCATCCAGAGTCTGAACTCGATCTGCTACTCGAGCTAGGTTCGCGAAGCTATTCGTATCGTTCGAGTAATCTTGAGAGGATTTTCACCAGCATGTAAGCACTTTACAGCGTGCGCATCTTCAGAGTGATTTCGAAGATGTCGAAAAGATGCCTCTGCTCCTCCTGCTAAACGCTTGGCTCGGCAACGTCAGCTTTTCCAAGTTTGTTCCGCCTGGGCCCCTGGGGGCCGACGTATTCGGCTCGCTGGAATCACCGACCCCCGAGGCCCCAACATTCAGATCTTGATGAAGTGGCCGAGCGATTAGCACAGTACTGGGGAGAAGTTCATCACGGGCATCCCTGTCTGCCTGACCAGCTCGAGCACATCCGATCTTTTGTGCAGACTACCCCGCCTGTGCCTGAAGGGTAGATTACGTTCGACGAATTTCGCAGCATCTTCAACAAAGTCAGAGATTCCTCCCCAGGCCCAGACGGACTAGTCTACACTGCGTGGCTGCGTGCAGGTAAGACGCGCTCCTCACCTTGTTTCATGTCTACTGCGCGCTCTTTCACTGCCTGTGCGTTGGAGGCGGCTTCAACCACGCCCTCGCTGTCTTCCGTGTCAAGGGCGAGGTCCCGCCGGACGTGTTCGCAGTATCCAGATCCGCGGACAAGACAAGGCCGATCACGCTCAGTAACACGTGCAACAAGCTCTGCTGTCTGGCTCTGAATCATGTCCTGGGGTATGTTTGTCAAGTGGTTTGCTGTAAAAATCAGACTGGTTTTGTCCGCGGCCGCTCGATGTTCGACAATACTATTGGTTTGGAGGCCAGTATGTGTCACTACCTATGCCAACAGTTCCTACCTGACTCTGGTTGTGATCTCTACGATGTTAAAGCCGCCTTCCCTAGCCTTCTTCACGAGTGCAGTCGCTAGGTTTTGGAGCTCATGAAGATCCCCCCGAGGTTCCGAAAGGCCATCAAGTTGCTCTACTCCCAATGCTGGGTCAGCGTCTCGTATTGCGGGGTCGCGTCCTTTGGGTTCTGGGTAACTCGAGGCATTAAACAGGGGTGCCCATTGTCAGGTCCCTTATTCGCCCTCTGCCTCGACCCCATCCTCCGCCTCATGATCTCTCGTCTTCCTCCTGACCATTCCCGACTTGGTGCCTTTGCAGATGACATCGGCATTGCGTGTGGAGACGTCTACCACGCGTTGACAGCCACCCTTCCGGTTTGGTGCGCCGCTGCCGGTGCTGCGGTTAAGTTGGAGGGAGTCCAGATTGTCATGCCCCGCTTGCCCGAGCGCGCAGAGTTCCTCTGTCGTCTGCGTGCTGCTGGAATTCGAGGGAAGAAGTTTAAGCTAACCCACGCAGGAAAATATCTAGGTCTGATGCTCGGTCTAGAAGGGTTGCACCAATCGTGGCGGGCACCAGGCAGCAAGTACTTCGACAGGGTAGCGTCAACCAAGGCCCCCCGCCTCGGCCTCGCAAAAAAAAAAAAAAAAACTTCGCCCTATACAGCGTGTTCGACTTTTTTCCGACCCTTACTTTCGTCGCCCAGTTCCATCTCCCTGATCACCACATTCTGAATCTTGAGAATCGCGAACTACAGCTCCTGACCGAAGGCCCCTGCAATGCATATAGTAGTTCCCTCTTACAGAGTCTCAAGGGTTTCGGCTTTCCCGTTCAAGCCCCTGGCTTGTATACTACCTCTCGTGCCTCAATGTACTGCCTAGGCATGAATTCCAAAGTTTTTCATGCAATTACTATTTGTTTCGCCAGTGCAGTGAATCCATTAATTGTGTTGTTGCGTGGGAGAGTCGTCCGCTATATCTGAACTCTAGCTTCCGAAGTCTGTGGATTAATTTCAAAGCCCTGTCTAGTATTCCCAATATCCCAGAGTTCGGCACGCCCGCGTTGCAGAGGAAAACAGAAGCCTTCCTGCTGTCGCGTGCCGCCGACAGTTCCTCCCCCACCATTTTCGCTCGTGCCGCCCACTGGTGCCGCATCTCGTCCGCCGAAAAAGACCAGCTGCTGCGCGCACTTCGTAGGATTGCCAAAAAGACACCACCGAGTGTTTTTGCTTCTGTTCTTCGCACGAATTGTAATGCATGGGCGACCTCCCGACGCTTCAAGGGCCAAAGAAAGCCATGTATGTTCTGTGCCAGTGTAGAATCTCAAGGTTCCCTAGCACACATGCTAGAGTGTCGTATCCTGCATGATGCCGTTGCCCCACTCCTTCCTTGTCTCCCTCCTCCGCGGGGTCGTGTGGGGGCCGCGCTCTCGCCGCTGCATTCCCGCTCCTTCACCTGCCCGATGATCAACTGTTGTCTTTCGCCCTTTTCATCGATGCTGCCTGCATCAGTTACCACGCCCACAAATTAACGTCAAGGTTCCGGGGCGAGCCCCGTCTCCGTAGAGCCCTGTAGGCCCGACTTTGCCAGGTGCTCAGGAGGCAACCGACCCTCCAGGAGCTCGTGCACCAGCGCTTCGCCCCGCTCGTCCTCTTCGGGCTGCTGGAGGTGTGGGACTTCGGACTCTTCTTTCTCTTCCCTTTTGCCTCGTGTCCCCCTCTTTCTTTCCCTTGCTCGCGTCTTGCCCGCTTGCCCCCCCTCGTGGCCTGTGCGCTCCTCCCTCCTCCTCCTCCTCCTCCTCCTCCTCCTCCTCCTCCTCATCCTCCTCCTCCTCCTCCCGAATCCTCCTCCCGTCGCATGTGTTCGACGTTTGGCGGCTTGTTTCGACGCCCCAGGGCCCCGGTCACAGAGCGAGATCCGCGACGAAAGCAACGCCCCCCAGTGAGGAGTTCGAGAGGATGTGTCCAGGGGCCATGCCTCGACAGCCTGCTGGCAGAGGGCCCTGAAAAAACATGATCAAGTAGAAGTGGGGCATTGTACTGCGTGGTAGTTACGGGAGACCACACGGGGCACCAGACGGGATGGGAAACAGTGCGAGATACCACTGATCGTTGGAGACCATGCGTGGAAACCGCACGGGACACCGACCATACGTACAGGAGACCATACGGGAGACCGCGCGGGGCGCCGGATCGGAGGCCCTATGGGAGCTCACGCGGGAACCCCTTTGTGATGTGTCGCGGGGGGGGGGGCGTACGGGAGACCACGCGGCGAGGGAGACCACGCCGGGGGCGCCACTGGTGTGCCTGGCCGAGGGGAGGGGCCATACGAGGCAGGCGTGGCCCTCCCGTGCAAGTTGCTGAGGGGTCGTTGCGCGCAGGCCTGGTCGCTCATCCTCTCTTCGGGTGTTGCTGAAAGTGTCCCTGCCCCACAAGGTACCCCCAGGGTTCTCAAGGTGGCCCAGGCGGCCTCCAGGGCACCCCTCGCGGGGCCCAGAGGGCCCCAGGGGTTCCAGCATGGAGCGAAAAACTGGGGGCATTGTGGGCCAAGGGGCACTTCTAGCAACACCCGATTTCTCACCCTTCCCCTTCGGCCTCCTGCCTCCCCCCCTCCCCTGTATATAGCTGGCTCTCCGCGCTTTTCCCTGGGGCGCTCGGCCTTCGACGAGTCATCTGGAGTGGTCTCTGCAGCCGAAGACTTGGCCGTGCCGCTCTGGAACCCAGCCCTGCGAAAGCAGGGCCCGCGAGGACCTCGCGCGCGCGCCAGAGGTGATGGGCCCGTTTTCCACCACCACCATAAATTGAAGGGGGAGGGGGTCCTCCTCCTCCTCCTCCTCCTCAACCTCTACCTCCTCCTCCTCCTCCACCGCCTCCTCCTCCTCCTCCCTCCTCCTCCTCCTCCTCCTCCTCCTCCTCCTCCTCCTCCTCCTCCTCCTCCTCCTCCTCTCCTCCTCCTCCTCCTCCTCCTCCGCTCCTACTCCTCCGCCTCCTCCTCCTCCTCCTCCTCCTCTTCTCCTCTTTCGCTCCTCCTCCTCCTCCTCCTCCTCTCCTCCTCCTCCTCCTCCTCCTCCTCCTCCTCCTCCTTCCCCCCCTCCAGCTTCTGGATGGTTTTGGTGGAACACGGGCCCACCAGGAGGAGACCCAAAACCGCCCGATCTCCTCGCTGCCCCCCCGCCGCCCTCCCCTGGGGTGCACGAAAGAGCGCGGGCAGCGCGCGACGGTCCTCCCGCGAGGGCTGGGACGGCTGCCCCCCTGACTGCCGGCCGCTCTGGAGCCAAGCCCTGCGAAAGCAGGGCTCGCGAGGACGTCGCGCGCGCCAGAGGAGACTCA